TGAGGGTGTTTTTTGCATTTGACTCCAAACATGAATCACATTCACTAAATCAAATGAATAGAAACATTTAAACCTAACAAATAGGTTAAATAATTCAGTATAAGAATAATTTTCTTAAAAATAAATCTATAATAAATAAAATAAGGTTGTGCACACCCTTTTTTTTTTTCTTTTTTTTTTTTAAGCTTTTAATTTTTATATACATTTTCATACTTTTTCTTTCTTTCGTTTTTCATACCAATTTAAAACATCTGTTTTAATGTTCCCAAGGACCACAAGGTCAATTTCCTAAAAAAAAAATCTACAACAAATAAAATAAAGTTCTCATTTTTCAGATTTAGGTTATAATTTGGAGTGACATATACCAATCTGGAGTGACAGATACAACTGGAGAAAGCATATTGTCATTGTTAGAGGTAATAAATAAGGTGAAAATTTGGAATTATTGCCAAGGACCACAAGTTCAAGTGAAAAAAAAATATTTGACACAATTAATCTATCAATACGACTGCTAAAATCAAAGAATAAGACATGGCGAGAAGTTGTGAAAGAAAGTTATTTTCGTTACTCATAAATTATGGATTACAAATCAATCACCTTACTTAGGGGTGGTTACTAATCGAATCAAGTATCAATCTTAATCCAATCCACTCGCAACGGATTTGTTAGCCTACGGATTAGATCGAATCCAGTCTACGGACTGAATTTTTCAAAATAATATATTTTCACCAATTTTATATCCACTTACAAAACAGTATAAGTGTATAAAAAAATATAAATAAAACCAATTCAAATGCATAATAGGTGAGGCGGTCGCTTTTCTCTTTGCCCTTCTTTAGTTATTTGAGTTGTTTCATATTTAGCTATGTTTAAGTTTTGATTAAATGAAAGCTCGGTGGTTCACTGCTATTGATTGAGTAATAAATATTATAAAACTAATTATATAACGCTTACCAAAAAAAGAAAACAGAAAAAAGTATGGCATGTTAGGAGTTCATATATATATATATATATATATATATATATATATGTGTGTGTGTGTGTGTGTGTGTGTGTGTTAGTTACGGAAGAGTAAAGAAAAGTAAAAATATTATGTTAGTTACGGAAAAGTAAAGAAAAGTAAAGATATTACTATAATATTAATATTATATATATATATATATATATATATATAAATTACGAATTGATCACGGATCGGATCGAATTTTTGACAACCTAATCTGTGAACTACGGATTCAATTTTTTTGAATCCGCGACCGATCCATGAGTCTGGCAATCCGATCCGATTTGTACTGATCGGATCGGATTCACAGATTAGTGAACTTTTTTGCCCCACTCTAGCGATACCCGTTATGAATGCAATTCAATATTCACGTCTTAAATCTATATGGGAGTGACGTGGCAATCATAATTAAAAGGCCCAAATATAATTGAAAAATTGAAAATAAAAAATTCAAAAATCTTGGTGGTTATGTTTTGGTGTCATGAAATTGGAGTTTTGCAATTGGAATTGATATAATTGAATTTTCTAAGTTGCTTTTATCTAATTCCACCAATTTCAATTCCAATTTCAATTCAAAATCCAAAACTCCGAGCAATCCATTCATCCCCTTCCTTTCAAAATTCCTAAAACAACAATTATAGTCTACACTTGGGATAAATGTGCGGGTTTAGGTTAAGAATTTTGAATTTGTTTCTTTCTTTTACCTTCTGAGAAAGCTAGATTTGAATTGAATCCAATATTTGAATTGAATGAAGATAAACATAATTTTTGGATTAATGCTAATTTTTTTTTTTTTTTTTTTATCATTTTGAAAAATCTAAATTTCATAGGACTTATAAGTAAGAAATGGATATGAAATTTATTGATGCCATTCTCATCACTCTTATCCCGATTTTTTATTTATGGGGTTGAAAAATTAAAAGAATCCAAACAATGCCACCCGACAAGAAATTGCAAAATAATGCAACATAACTATACCATACGACTGTGCTCCATCGTGCACTTAATCCAAAAAATGATCCAAACTATATACCCGACCCTGTCCCAACGAATACTTAATTAACGGGTAGGAAACTCCCACAAAACAAAACAAAAAGGTGTCTCAACTTGTCAAGCAAAACAAAGCCTATAAAATGTTACCTGTACACACACACGCCTAAGGTCGTCTAGACTTCCATAGGTGACATTTTAATAAGTAAAAAAAAAAGAAGATTCTTACTTTGTTGGGTCCCTGTCATTTTCTTACCTACAACACAGATTTCGGATACCAATTCAATCCAATCAATAATACCCCCATGCAAGTAATCTTGTCCGTTGTTAAGCAACCCAAACAAATGATAAATTATATTTATTGCATGGTTTGCCGTGGCAGCTTAACTTATTTGAGATAATATATGTGTAAATCGATTAGTTTATGTAATAATATTAAATTTTGATAAATAATTACGAATCGTTAATACATCGCGTATCAATGACTCACGACTTATTGCAAAAGCCGATCATTCGCACAAACATGTGTTGTTATTGAAGTCCAATAACTAATCAGTTGTACCGACTCTTGTTAAACGGTTTCAAGCAAATACATCATGAGTTCTTTTTACAGATCATGTATGCCTTGGCTGTTCCGTTTCTAAACATGTAATTTTTATTTTTTTAATCTCAACTTACTTATCAAAATAATACTATAATTATTACTACAAAGTAATGTAGTAAGATTTTCTAAGATATAGTGACAATGACCAGCTCTAGCATGATAGTATGCCAATAAATGTCTCAACACTACCCATGTGAGAAGTCGCCTTCAATCCAAAAATTTAATACACATCACAATTAGATGAAAAGGACGGAGATTCAACATCAAGGGTGAATTTAGGAATTGTCAATGGGAGTTAGTATTGAACATAAATTTAATTACACAATTTCATAAGCAATTTTTGTTTGAATGGGTTAAAAAAGGGGTTAATACTACTATTAATTTTTTTTTTTTTTTTTAAATTAGGCTGAAAATACAATACTAAAAAAGTTTTTTTTTTTGGTGGGGGCTCAAGCCCTCCTCTGTGTCCACCTGTGTTTAGCATGTGTCTCCAATTCAAGTATATTATTCCTTCTTTAAAATAAAAGTTTTATAATAATAATAAAAAATCACTATAGATTTCATTAATAGAAGTGACTAAGATGGGCACACCAGATAGAGTTTATATTGTTTGAGCTGTCAATAATACTAACTTAATGACTTAAGTTTGGAAAACATCTAAAAGTCGTCAAATTACCTACTATATTTTAAAAACATTTAAACTGGTCCAGTTTGGAAAGTAAAAGAAAAAGAACACTACGTAGAAGAGATCAAAAGGGATTTCCAATTGTACACACAATTTGATGAAGTACACGAAAGTTATGTTCTACAGGGCCACGTATGGTTGATATTCATTAAATTAACATATTTTAAATTTAGTTCCCACCAAATATCACCAAAAAAAAAAAAAACTAAAGTTCCTTTTTGTTAATATATATACATACACACACACTATTAAAATTCTTGAGATTTGGATGTAATTATGAGATAATTCCAAATTTAAATGTCATAAATGTACTATTAAAATTTCCAATTGATTCCGACAGCACCATGTTTGACAAAGAAGTCTTTGAAGTAAAATTTTTTTTTATAAAAAATTTATCAACTTGCTAATCATTTACACAACATAGTAAGAAAATCTTGTGCTGTTGTTCAACTTAATCCGTTATATTATGTGAGCAAATTGATATGACTGGAACATCAAGCCCCATATGAGGGAAAAAAAAAATAACCTACCACATTTTTGTCCATAAAATTTACCTAATCTAAAATAAATAAATAAAATAAAATATTCATCAAGAGTTGAGTGATTAGTTTTTATTTTTCAAAAGAGAAATTCAACGGTTGAGTCTCTGTTATTCAGAAAATTGTGCTAAGACTCTGAAAAAAAAAAAAAAAAAAAAACCAAACAAACCCCAAGTCAATGTGGGTGTGTGACTTTTTTTTTTTGTCCAGATAAAATTTTCGCTAATAAATAAATAAATTTGAAATTGACTCAATGAGAGTATAAAGCCATATATATTATAGTATATATCTATACATGTTTTTTTTGACACCTATAAAGTAATTAGTTGGGGTTAGTTTGGGGCAAATGTGTGAAAAGATACCCCAAACACTAGTTCTCGACTATGAAGCACGGACACGGATATGGGATACGGGTATGACACGATACGGATACGGCGACACGACAAATTTTAAAAAAATAAGACACGGACACGGCGGGGATACGCCTATAAAATTATATATATCTATATATATATATGTGTGTGTTCAAAATATAATTACTAGAATCTTGTACAGATAAATAAAACAACAACAAATAACATAATCAATTTCAATAATTTCATCTTTGTTATAAGAAAAATATAGACAAGACCAAACAGAAAATAAATGAAAAATAAAGTTGATCCAAATTCCAAACGAAGATGTGCAGAAAAGACATAACTATAATGAACTAAATATGTATATGAATAAACATATATACTTTCAGTCTTTCATAAAGTTTTATTCATGTAACTTTTATATATATATATATATATATATATATATATATATATTTTGTTCATGAAGAGAGATAATTGAAGAATATGAGAGACTGAGAGGAGTGAGAAAATAAATTTTGTCTCACAAAAGTGTCGGACCGTGTGTCCGAGAGTCCGACACTTCTATAAAGTGTCCGTGTCCAATAAAAAATAAAATTTGGACACTTTATAGAAGTGTCGGACTCTCGGACACAGATGTTGGTGTCTGAAAAGTATCCGACACGGAACCCCTGAGAGGAGTGTCCGTACTTCATAGGTTGTGTCGATGAGCGTTCCTAAATAAGGCAAACATGATTAGGACGTGGCAGCGCAGGAGGTGGAAACGTGGCCTTCATAGCTAAAGGGACCTAATTAGCATACCAAAAACCACTTGCCCGCCCAGAACCTCTCACAGGTGCTGTGTCAGTTCATTACATTACATTTGAAAGTTCAAAAATACAGTGTGATACATACATAGATAGTCTTGCCAGAAGGGACGGACGTTCCCTGCTTCGAACGCACCCCTGTCCTCATAAATGTCTCTCTCTCTAGAAAATGACTCTACATCACCACTTCTCCCTCTCTTGTCGCCGGTTTCCATCTATTCACTTTCTCTCTCTAAAAGTTAAAGCATCTCCACTCTCTTTCTCTCTTTTCTCTTTCTAGAGTATAAATGTATATCTATACATAAGATCTGTGTTTCTATCTGTGTGTGTTTGAATTTAGCTGAAAAGCTAGGGTTTCTGTTCGCTTGATCTTCTCGGATTCTTCACATTCGCGCTCTCGTGCTTTTTCCCGATAATTCCGGCCCAAGATTTTCTTGGAAACTTCAATTTCTCTCTCCTTCAACATCTTTTTGTCTCTCTTTTATGAGTTAAAATGGAGAGAGTGAGGCTGAGGAGGTCCAAAGTTACTTCCATCAACGAAGGTCAGATTCTGTCTCTCTCTCACTCCCCCTCTTTCTCAGTCCTTGTCTGTATGCGAATCTCTGTCTATCTTTTTTTTTTTTTTTTTTAATAAAAAAAATATTCTTCTGGCTGAGAAAAATGAAGAAAAGAAAGAATCTATTTGTGATACATCCGTTTGGCTGCTGGGAAAATCAAGGAAAAAATATGTTTTATTTGGGAATTTTTTTATTGTGTTGTTTTGACCTGGAAAGTAAGCTGATAATTTGAATTGTACTTTGTGTTCTCTTCAAGAAAATAGGAATTGGACTCCATGTCTAAAATGTTAGTACGTTTGGTAGCTGAGAAAATTGTAGGGAAAAAAGGAAAAGAAATTAAAATTTTTAAAACAAATATATATATTTTTCTTTTCAGAAAATGAAAGTAATTCAGTTTAACTGATAATTTTTACTCATTTTGAGAGTATTTTTAGATAAACAAGTTTCAAAGATGGAAACTTTGGACTTTTTATTTTTTATTTTTCCTACATTTTCTTAGCAACCAAGCATATGGTTGTCTTTGTTTCTGGATTTTGTTTTTTATAACTTTTGTTTGTTTGTGATGCTCTTTGTGAAGTTTATGAGCAAGCTTGAGTTTTGGCTTTGCTTGTGCTTTTGTTAAAGTAGGTGTTGTTTTCGAGTGGAATTGAGTAGGGCCTTATGTGTAGTGGTATCAATATGATTTTGTTTGTTCTTTATTGATTTCTCGGGTTATCATGAGGCATAATGGAAGCATGTAGTGCTATAAAAGTATTCTGTTAGTTTATGTGATTTTTCTCTTAATTTTGATTTATACATTCTGCACTTCGTTTTATATCCTCTCATCTTACTGCGTTTCTTTTAGACAACTTGATTTCTTATTTCTCCCTTTTATTTTTTTTGTGATTTTTTTAAAATAAAAAATCTATATTCATCCTAGGCTTAATGAAATGAGGTTTTCATCCACTTTGTGCCTAGAAAAGGGAATTGAGTGTTTCAATTGAGATATTTTGACAATTTCGCTCTTCGATTGTTTCTACTGATATGGTGTATCCATTTCCTGCCTTTAGTTTCGTTGATTAGAAAATTTGTTCCCATCATCTGCGGCCATCTCTGTGCATGTGCATATGTGTAATCTTATCTTGGAATGGCTATCCTGATGTTGTTATAGAAAATCATTTCCAGGAAACAGGCAGACTCAGAAACAAAGAACTGTTCCAAAATTGGCATCTGGTTCTAGTTCTCGGAGTAGTGGTGGTACCACTGAGGAAGAATTGGTGAGCTTATCAGTTTGTAATGTTGACCTTCTTTTAAATTTATATATATGTATACATTATATTAATCTCTGAAAAGTCATTTAGAAGCAATTCTGCTACCAGGATATGTTAGTAATGATTCTTCTATTTTTGAATAAATGCATTTGGCTTTTGTAGTTAACATTTGATCTGGCACAAAGCTCTTCGAAACGAGTAACTGGGACCCCAATAAAGAAATTATTGGCAGATGAAATGTCAAAAGAAACTGAATCCAAGAGAAGACCACCAACTGTTATTGGCAGATTGATGGGTCTCGATGGGTTACCACCTCAGCAGCCTGTTCATAAACAACAAAAGGGGTTCTCAGAAAACTATCGGCAGAGGACTGCATCAATAGGATTTCAGAGGAATGACAAACTATATGACCGCCGATTGAATAAGAAGATCTCAACAGAGCAGCTAGAATTCAAGGACGTCTATGAAGTTTCTGAAACATTGAAGGTTGAGAGTGCTAGTAACCCATCAAAAGAGACTACAAACTCAAAGCTAACTGAAGCAGATATAGCATTCATTCAACAGAAGTTCTTGAATGCAAAATGTCTTTCCACAAACGAAAAGCTTCAGGATTCAAGAGAGTTCTACGATACACTTGAGATGCTAGATTCCAACAAAGACTTATTGCTGGAATTTCTCGAGCAACCAGATTCCTTGTTCACGAGACATCTGCTTGATCTGCAAGATGCTGTTCCCAGATCCCAGTGCAGTCACATAGCAGTTATGAAACCATCAAACTATGAAAAGTATGAAAGCAGTGCCATAGGCTGGAATTTGGAGAGAGAACCTTCTTTAAAGTGCAATATTAGCTCTCAGCGGAAACATCAAGATGGCCATTTTAGTTACTCCTACAAAAAATGTGGTTCTCATAACTCTGTTAAACCATCAAAAATGCAATTAGAAAGGAAGCCTGAGACAGATGTCCTCCCAGTCCCAGCAAGGATTGTTGTTCTGAAACCAAACGTTGCGAAGATGCGGAATCTTACTAGATCTGTTCCATCACCTACTTCACATACTTATCAGTTAGACAATAGGAAGCATACAGAATTTCCAAGTATTGGCAATGGGGAGGCAGGATCATATGTGAAGAAGAATTTAGACAGTGATGTGGGTCTTTCGATGCCCAAGTTCAGAGAATCTAGAGAAATTGCTAAAGAGATTACTAGGAGAATGAGAGACAGCAAGCTGATCAACCTGTCGTCCACATCTAGAGGATATGCTGGGGATGAGAGCTCATATAGCATGTCTGGAAGTGATTCTACAAGTGAATCAGAGGTGACATTGCAGACTTCCCGAAATTCATTTGACTGGAGTAGCCGACAGAAGCTTTCGTCATCCCATTCAGTTGAATCATCTGTTAGTAGGGAGGCCAAGAAGAGACTTTCAGAGAGGTGGAAGATGACACAAAGGTATCATGATGTGGGAGTAGTTTGCAGGGGCAGCACACTGGGTGAAATGCTTGCTATTCCTGACAGGGAGTTGGGAGCAGAGAATTGGGATGCCATGATAGGTGTGGATGAACCCAGTGAGAGATTTCATAGCGTTGATGAAACTGCTGCTTGGGATGATCCTTTGGGTATCAGCAGCAGGGATGGTTGGAAGGATGGACGTATTAGGAATTTATCAAGACAATTTCCCCCTGTTTCATTGGTTGGCTGCGGTGGTCCTATGGAATGTGAAGCTCTTGATGATGATAGGTATCTGATGCCAAAAGAAGCTATGCACCGGGGTAGAAATAAGGCGTTGAAGGGAAACTTAGGTCAGAAAAATCTTTCACCTAGAAACTTAAGATCCAGGAATAAGAAATCGCAGTCCTCTCACCATACATATAGGCGTAGTATTGACTCTTTACAGGAAATTCATTCCAGCCAATTTCAGGGGGAGAGTGATCTTGAAAAGGAAGGGCCATCTGACCAAAAGCCCGTGGTTTTTGAGATTCCTGCTAACAATGTTGTCTATACCAGTTCAACTATTGATGCGGCGGGGGATCCTGAACTTGAGAGTATGACCATGCCCTCTGAATGCACTGATGATTCACTTACAAAAACATCAATTTCTGTGTTAGAAAACGGTGACCCCTCTGCTCGTGACATTGAGGATTCAAAAACAGAGGTTCGATTCTCTTTTCTGAATGATCCTTTTCATTTGTTGACATTATATAAATGCAGTAATTATGAAAATTGTGCCAGCCTATTTTTTTCCAACAGCCACTATCCATGGCAACTTATAGTTTTCTTATATTTTCTCTTATCTTCTTTCGTCTGTTCTCATTTGATGAACTCAAGTCTCTTCCATTACTTCTTGTTCTTTTTAATCTCTCTGTTTTTACCTTTTCCCTTTGTGTATGGGAGACATATATATTATTTTGTTTACAAATAGCTGTCAGCATCTCATGTTAGACAATGAAGTATGTTTTACAGGCAAATCTAACTGTAGAATAATGATACTATGCATGTTACTGATGGTGATTGCACTTTTTTGACTGACTTTGTCATTTTTAGAATATTTAGCTCATAGCTTTTTTTCATAGATTATTATACTCCTGCTTCAAAGACGTTGAAAACTAATATTGGTTGCAACATTTTACAGTTAAGAAAACTATGATAGTGTGTGGTATAATAGAGAGAGCAAAAGGAATAAATACGACTCATTTAATTGATCCCATATAGTTAAGAAGGCTTTGTTGAGTTGAATTGAGTACTCTTGCTTCAAAGACAAGTTAAGGATGTAGAGAACATTTAGAGGCTTTCTGTTGCTGTGAAATGGCTTGAAAACTTGTGGATGGCTGGTGGTTTTATAAGAGGTCTAGTCTTCTCTGTTGCACTAACTTTTTCAGACGCGGACAACTATTATGTAGGTTGACGTCATCAATTACTGAATTGGTGTCGTTTTGTCCCACAACTTTGTAGATGGCTGGCTGCTGTACTTGACCACAGCCTTCTCCTGTTGTCAACCATTGGTTTGCTCAGGAAACACGTGGAGGAGGGAACTTCTCATGCAACTAAGCTCAGAAACAAGTGGAGGAGGATGCAAGTTAACTCATGGAACACATGACGGAGGAAACTTCTCATGCAAACTAATAATTGCACACCTTATGTAACTTTGGTCAAACTTAGCATGATTCTCACCTCACTTCTATATGTGATCAATCCTATTAATTTGATTTGTTTCCTTATTCTTTAAGAGATAGTTCCTGATTGCCAAGTGTTCAGAAAACTTACCTGAACGTACCTTAATACTGCTGTACAAATTCAAATGTTAAACTTGAAATTATTTTAACATAGAAGTTCATAAAAATCTTCCAGGTCCTCCATGTGCCTTGTGTCTTTCTCTTACCAGAACCACACCTTTGAGCAATCTTAAAATCATTCTCTCCCTCTTTTCCCTATTCTCCACAGCAGCCACCAAGTAGATGTCTTTTCAAAATGTCCCACTCTTTGGTTTTAAGTGTTGGCAACTGTGCTGATCAAACTCACATGTATGGAATTTATGGTCCAAATAATGAGGTATGAAAGCTATGAATGACAAGTGGATGTGAAATGGGCTTCTGTATCCTGATGCCCTGTTGGACGGCATTCTCAACCTTTCCCCGTACTGTATTAAGGTGGATTGGTGCTACATGTCCCATCCCTTACTGTTTTCTTCGTTTTACTTGCCACTTAGTGTACTATATGAAATCTCCTCAACAGCATTGAAAGGAAAAGTAGGATTGCTTGATTTTAGATTGCTCTTCAGGAAGAAAAATATGGTTGGAGAGATAGAACATGACTTTTATGAGTCAAGGTGATGTTGAGGCTGGATTGACTAGAGGTAATGATGGATGACTATGATGACAAGCTCCACATTTGGCAATTACAACGAACTCTGATGTTGATGGTGGTAAATCTGTCCAGGCAACTGTGAGAGTGAAAGAATAGGCGAAAGAGGGAGAAATTGACCAATTGGGGCGGAGAGAGATTTATGTGAGAAGAAACCCTAACGTCTTTATATTTGAAAGGGTATTTAAGGTGTAAAAAATTGTAGAATATGAGTCTTCTTGTTCCTAGTTTATGCCAATCATATCAAGAGCCTAGTGAAAATCGAACTCTTAATGGCCAATACCCCATGCAAAACTTTTCTTTCTATCGGATCAAATAAATATTTTCTTGGGGCCTCAACATAAGACAATATAGAATATTTTAGCATGGAGAGATCAGATTGTATGCACCATGGCTGAATCAAATGAATACATTGAAGAAGTTCCTGCTTTATTAGTCAATCTGGAAACATTAACCGGCGCATATTTTAGCATGAAGAGGATTCCAATTTCACGTCTTAAAATAAATGAGCGTTTATCTTTTTCAACAACTGCAACTTGTTTGCAAAGACAGTTAATATTATGTCCAAGATCAATCTGGAATTTTCTTATGATGATTTGGCAACTTGTAGCCATCGACAATTCTTTTGATGATTTAGCTAAGGTGTTTCGGTCTGTCAAAGGGCTTGGTTGGAGGTTTGGGTCCTTTACAGTTTCCGAGCCCAACCACTCATTCCTACATATTTTTAACTTGTTAATCTACTTCAAGGTCATGCGACCATGAGGACTCTGTTAATATGGATCCTCTTGCTTACCAAATTCATTTGTCACTTTCTTTGGATATCAGTTTTCTCAACTCTAGTGTGAATTGATGTTTTAGCAAGAAAGTGAAGCTAGATTTTGGTTGTTCCAATTCAATAGGTTGTGGTTCACAAGCTAATCATCTGTGTAGAGGTAAAACTCATAGGTGTTTAGCGACGCATTCTAAGATTGAGGATTCCTTTTAATTTGAGAAGGAAGGTGCTATAGTTCTTCAGAACTTGGAGAACAGAAACCTGTTTTCACAGAACTATAATAGGACGTTATTTGGAAATAGGCCTTTTTTGTTTAACAGAGGTTTCAAGAAATTGATAACCAAACAAATTTTTGTATTTTATTCTGATGTTCAGTTCTCTAAAAATAGAACATTGTTCTAAAAAAACTAAACCAAATTGATCCTAATTTATTCGGTATTTTGCAACTTCATTCTCCAGATTTTCCGATAGGCCCTACCTATTTGCCTTTAATCATGTTTTTGTTATTCCTTACATCAAATGAGTTTTTTTATTCTGTTAGCCAGGTGAGCTCAGATCTGTTTGAATTTTCTTCTCATGGTTTTATATAAACTATAAAGGATAGGACTACAAAGGTGGTGACCAAGGCAAGCAGTTCAAGAGGAAGCTCATACACTGGAATCGACCTTTTTTTCCGATTTGCTTTCATACTATTACTACTATCACTGATGAGGCTTGGCACCAACATCTCTAGCACCTTAGTTTAAAGTGGTAGAAATTTTATAGAAAAATAAAGTCATTATGAGTATTGGTAAAATAATGGCTGCACAAATGCGTGAGTAGATGTGAGAATTCTGTGACGTGCCGCCTTCCTCTTATTTCTTCCAATAATTGATGTAATTAGCCTGTATGCCTATATATGCGATACGTTGCGATTTCTGGGGCTGACCTCAGTAATTTCTTTCCAAAAGCCACCATATTAGGTGGGTTCATTGATTAATGCACTTGCTTTACATGGTTTTTTCCACTTAAGCACACATTAGGCATGCCTTTTGTTTTACCTTCCTTGTTGGTGAGAAAAGGAAAAAGAAAAAAGAAACACGCCGGAGGTATATTTCAATGCTCTATTTCCTTCGGAATACTGGAGTATCATTTTGCAAAAAGAACAAATGTTTTTATTTAAGCCTTTTTCATGATACATTGTGATTTATGGGGCTTGCAGCTGGCCCTTGTAATTTCTTTTGTAAAGTCATGTTATTATGTGGTTTTATGGATTTATGGACTTGCCTTATATGAATTTTCCCACTTAAGCATGCATTAGGCACACTTTTTTTTCCTTTACTTTTTTTCCCCTTATTGGTTGGGGAAAAAAAGAAAAAATAACCACACATTCGGCATGTTTCAATGCATCATTTCCATCAAAAGATATGTGCAGAATCATATTGACAAAATAATAAATGCTTTAGAAACATTGTGGTGATGACTTACTTCATTGAGAATGATTCTTGTGGTCGGTTGGCTGCTAATGGAATTAACTTCTTCTCTCTTGAAATTCCAGTTCGGATGCTGCTAGAGATGAATAAATTTTGACTTCACAGCAAAATTAAAATCAGTGCCTTCTCCAAGCACTTTATTTGAATGTTCTTGTTCCAAGTTGGTTTTCAAAACCAAGCTCGAGCCTCGAGGTCGATGGATCTCTAGAATGGTATATGTCATGCTTAGTCACTAATGGTACAATCTTATTCTCTATTTGGATTTTTCCAAAACCTTTTATCCTCTCATAAAACCAACTACCATTGATCTTGTCCTCTCAATTCTTCTTGCTTTGAGTTGAATGCATCAGCTGAACATTAGAAAGACATTCCGGCAAGGTGCATTCATCGGGCAACCATTGTTCACCAAGATTTGCCTTCTCTCATTGATGTTAACTACACTATGACCCACTATTCTCACATGGTAAGTGTAAAAGTTCGGACAACCAAGCATGAGAATGTGGATTCAAGAATGAGAACATTCATTTTGTGGAAATAACGTCAACATTTAGGTCTGTGTATCGTTAAACCCCCCTCCTAGTACCTTTAATTAATCGGGATTGCACTTAGAGACGTTTTTGTTGTAAGAAATCTTTGGTACACGGGTTGAACTATATTATCCGATTCATGCATAACCATAGTTTCTCATTTCCAAAATAGCTAAATGAACCTTTTGCATTATTAAGGTAATTATCTAGTATGGAATTTGGCTGTTCTATAATTCGTTGGTTACTCTAAACGCCTTTGTTGTCGTCGATTGACCTGGTTGTTCCCATAACCATATTGAAGAACAAGGTTTTATACCTTTTTTTTCGGTGGCAATTGAATTTCTTGAAACACCAAGAGACAAATCACAATACCCACTCAAGTGTTGAAGTCAAAAATCAATCTTTAGGTTCCGTATTTGCTTACCTCCCTCGATTTGTCCTTCCTATTTTTGGATATTTGTCTCTCTCAACCTACAATAATTTTATGTGGTAGAATAAGCCTTGTATATGGCAATTGCTCCAT